TGGAGTTCTCGGCGTGCGACAGGGCTTGTTGGTCTACGTGTCTTTTGCAGGCCGCAACTGGCGAGACTTCTGGTTCCTGTAGACACTTGGCGTCCCAGCGTTTTGCCGCGGCGCTTCCTGTTGAGAGTAGATGATGGCCTGTCGCGTAAACTCTGGAGCTATGGTGGACAAAGGTTTAACAGAAACGTACCTCGAAATCTTGTCGCGATGCGATTTGGGAGCTCCTTGAATGGCACCAGTCATTGGCACCTCCAACCAGTCGGGCCTTGGCAGTTTTCAGCATGTAGGCAGCTGACCACACATGAAGTTTCGACGTTGAACGAACGTTTTCAATCCACTCGCATGCTGAAGAAGCATCTCCAGAGCAGTAAAAGGGGCTGATGTTGCGGCTAAAGTCAGTAATTACCTGGAACGCTGGTGCTGGTTGAGGCTGTGCTGGACCAGCCAAAATCAGTTGTTCCAGAAGGGTCGATAGTAGACGGTCCTTTTCTTGGATAGCTTTAAGCAAGTCGCGAGCCGTAATGGTGTCTACACTGCCAAAGCCTATACCTCTTCTACCGCAAGTTGGGTTGTCTCTTCCGTCGGTGCGTTACATCTCAGGGTTACGGTTACATTAATCAGCTTCGTAAACTGACAGAACGCACATTTTCTCTCCATGGCAACTGGATGGCAATCCCACTTCTGAAATGTTAGCTTCGCCGGGCGTCGTTGAAGTACCCGAAGCATTATAGAAAGGGAATGATTTACTTACACATATTATTCCGCTTGCCACACAGGCTACTAACACGCCACACAGGCCATAAAAGAGCAACATTGCTCTTTTATGTCTGTTTCATAGGTACATTTATAGTAACGAAATTCACTGTTTGCCACTTTATTCTCCTGCGCGCACTTCCCAGCGCATTCACAATGCCCGTAGTTTTATGCGCATTCATGGTCACACGCAGGCATTTAACTTATCATCACTACCTCGAGCCATTGCATATTGGAACGGTCTTCCAGATCATGTTGTATCCATTTGTAACCGTGAAATCTTTCGTGACAACCTGAATTCGTTGCACTCTAGCATTGTATAACGCTGTTGCACCTTGATTTTTGATATTTGTAATCTTTTATATATGTATATATTTTTTCGTCTGCTTTTCTCCTTTATTGTTATTTCGTTTGTATACTGATGCCCCCCTTACTCAATGCCCTTCAGTGGGCCTGTAAGGTATTTTGAATGAATAAATAAATAAATAAATAAACACTGCACGTGCGTCTCTCTGTTAACAGGAGATGCTGTTCGAAGACACTTTTTCTTTAATATTCACCCTAGAGCAATGCAACTTGAGCTGTTTGTGGAACTTTTTATGCTAATTTCATATATGTAATTAGTTTTCTTGCAAGTTACAAACTTTTAGCTCTGCAACATGACAAAGGGAAAACCTTAACCCTTTTGCCCCCCCCCCCTCTTTCTTCCCAAAATTCTGTAATTCTCTACCATTCATAGTTTATAATGCTTCAAATAAAGTGTAGAGTGCAAACAACTAATTAGGAGGCACATACAAAATATGTATTACACGTGAAAAATAATAGATGTAAAAAGCCCATACTTCACCTATCCTAGTAAAGGTATACATACAATTTTTTCATTATACAATAAAATATTGAAATTTACTCTTGATAATTGCATTCGTCATTCTTTGAAAAAAATTTGGGCAAAATTTCATGCAGGTCCAAGTACAGTAAAAGCTCGTTAATTCGACACCCGTTAATTCGGAAATTCGGATAATTTGGACGGGTCTATTGGTCCCGGCCAAAGTGCATGTTATTCTATGGGACCAAACCTTCGTTATTTCGTCGGAATTCGGCTCCGCACCGCCTAATTGGGGCAAATGCTGACGGCTGCTGCTACACAAAAGTGTGATAAAGCAGCGCTGGCACCACTGGAGTGAAACTGAAACCTGAGTGGCATCGCCATCATCATCAACTAGTGGGGGCGATCGCAGCGACACTGAACGTCGGCGTCTTCTTTCTTCTCCACTCAGCGCCTCCGACGCCATTTTCCCTTGTGTTGTCGTGTCGGAACCATCTCTTCTTGCGGAGTTCTCTTTTTCTTCCATTGTGACCGTTTTTGCATGCCACCACTATCCTGCGCTACAGTGATGGCAACGCTGAAAAAGCCGCAGAACTACGTTGCGAAGAACTTGGCGACTAAAGTGGAAATTTTGGAAGCACTGAAGAACGGCGAATCGCGACAGCAGGTTATGACCAAGTACAACGTGAAGCGGAGCACGTTGGGAACGTACGTGAAAAATGAACAACAGATTCGACAAGCCTTCGAAAGCGAGAAGCTTCATGCCTCTAGAAAGCGGTCGCGAATTGCAGCTCATCCCCAGCTCGAAGAAGCTTTGCTCTGGTGGATAACTGGCTGTCGCAACGCGCATCTGCCTTTGAGCGGACCTCTCATCATGGCGCAAGGTGAGAAGTACGCTGCAATGATTAACATTGAACCGTTCAAAGCGTCAGAAGGGTGGTTTTCGAGGTTTCGAGACAGACACGAACTTGTGTTCAGGAGTGTGTGCGGCGAAAAGGCCAGTGTTGACGAAAGCGTGACCACTGAGTGGAGAAATGTGAAGCTGCCGGAGTACATCGCCGCATATGAACCATGTGACGTGATTACTGCAGAAAAAACTGCTCTATTTTTCAGAGCTCTACCCGACAAGACGGTGACTTTCAAAGGGGACGCGTGTATTGGTGGCAAGAAGTGCAAGCAAAGGATAACTGTGCTTATTGCCGCCAATATGACTGGCGCGGAGCGCTTGCCACTACTTGTCGTCGGGAAGGCGCTTAAGCCACGTTGTTTTAAGAACGTCAAATGCCTTCCTGTCGAGTACACAGCGAACAGGAAGGCATGGATGACATCGGACATTTTTCGCGGCTGGCTGCATCAGTTAGACCGGCACTTCACGTCGAAGGACCGCAAGATAATTATGATTGTTGACAACTGCAGTGCCCATAACTGTACAGTCGAACTGAAGAGCATCAAAGTAGTTTTTTTGCCGCCCAACACTACGTCTGCTCTTCAGCCGATGGACCAGGGTATCATTCACTACTAAGAAGGTAAGTCGAAGTACCGCAAGCACCTGCTAGAGCGAATGATTCTATGCTCAGAAGCTGGAAAGTTGTATCGAGTAGACTTACTCGGCGCAGTGCACATCATCGCCCACGTGTGGAAAAACACTCCGCCGCAAGTCATCGCCAACTATTTTCGGCACAGCGGTTTTGTGAGGCCCGAGCATGCAGCAGTAGCTGACGATGGCATCGAGCAGGTGTCAGCCGAGTCCACCGACGGCGACTGCCCGACTTTCGATGCTGTCCTTCCCACAGATGTGACCTTTCAGGACTACATAGCGATTGATCATGGTGTCGCCACGAGTGGTCTCGTGACCGATCAAGAGATTATTAAAGATGTCACGGGGGCCCATGAAGTCCACGATTCCGACAAAGAATCATGCGAGGAGATACCGCCGCGACCTCATCGCACCACACGGGAAGTCTCGGAGGGGCTGTTATTATTAGACGACGCTTGCCTGAACACTCCCGACAGCTTGCGTGCTGTTGGCCGTTTGGAACAGTTAAGAAAAATTGTGATGTCAGCCAGAATCTGCGCGAAAACGCAGACGACAATTACAAAATTCTTCAACAAATAAAGGTATGCTTCTGCAGCTTGATTTTAAATGTTGTTTTTCCTGTCTATTCGGTTAATTCGGACAGTTTTTCTGGTCCCGTGAAATTCGAATTAACGAGCTTTTACTGTACTAGAAGCGCCCGAAAAAGGAGGGGCACATTGGAAAATATGACAAATTTGTGTTTTGAGAAAAACGAGTTTTAAAGTTAACATTGAGTTTTATTTATGAAAGATATTATTAAATCAGATGAAATTTGCACACCAAAAAGAACAATCCTTTTGTAGTGGCCACTGCGACTAAAATACGCTAGCACCATGAGTTTGTCCCTATCGGCGCTTTTGGCACACTCTTCACAGACATTTCCCTCGCAGACAGGACCATGAAACGCTTGCCAAACTTCCGCTTCATTTGGCAGAGCCTTGTGCCAAATGTAAGCTAGGAAGAAGTTCGACAGGACTGCGAAATCCAAACTAAGTCCAGTGTCATGCCATTTTGCAGCCATGTTTGTGCCACATACCGTCGCAAATAATGGCAATGTCATCCCTGCTAAGTTCTCTCACTGCGAGCTCTTTCGACCTCTCAAGATTGGCGCTGGTGTCATCCATTGCCGCATCACGAACTTTCTGGCTGACAGGTGTGAACGACTTTGATGCATTGGCTTTTGCAAGCCCACAACTGCCGCAAATCGGACCAGCGGCTCGTAGCCTATTCCTACAGAGCTCGCCGCACAACAGCTTTCACTTGCGAGCAATGCCTTTTTCATTCATAACGGAGATAATTACACGAGAAAAGCATTGTTCAGCTGCGCTGCTCGACATGACATGAACCCCGCAAACAGGTTTCACAGCACATACAGGCGCGCAGCGGCCAATGGCGGTCCCCGATTAGTACCATGTAATAAGCCAGTCGCGGCACTCGAAAAATGCGCAGAACAGTGATTCTTTTTATTATTTCTTGCGCTGCATCAGCGAGAGAAACTGTTGTTATGTGAAGAGTGAGGCTCGAATTTCGACTCATGCGATCAACAATGGCTAGCGGCGGCGCATTATCGGCGGCAAGGTGCTCGAAGACTGCACACTTGCCACCTTTTAACAGGCACCTTGTGCTCTTTAGATGAAGTTTTAAAGCATTTCCAGTGAAGTCTCGACCTGTATTATTTTTTTCATAACAGTAGAGGTACTAACATTATCAAAATAGGCGAGAATAAAAAATCAGTAATTTTGAAAAAATGTCGCGTTTTTCGACCTGCATCTCCCCTTAACATCTTCGTTTTCCTTCTCTATCTATAAAAAGGCGCGTGCATTTCCAGCAAGCGCGTCTGTTCGATGTAACTTGCCGACTTGTCACTGGGATACTGTAAACACCTGAAGTGCATGACACAAACTGATTGTGCTGTGTTGTGCTACATTCCCTTTATCACGAGGTAAGACTTTTATCAATTTTAATGCGAACGGCAGCGCAAATCGTAGTAGTTCATTAGGGGCGCTTAAAGCAACTGTATGCCGTAGTGTACACCGATTTTTCATTTTTAGACAATGGGAAAGCTTGTGTGCAAATGAAAGGACAGCAGCATTCTTTTTATTCATCCTTATGTTATGATAGATACAATGCTTTAACCAGCTTCAAAAGCTTTTCACATTGGGCTACTAAGGTCTGAGGCGGGGAGACGGAGACGTCTATCTAATCAAAGGGAGACGCTAGTGCCAATGAGGTGCCTACATGATTTATTGAGAGGTCAATGGAAGCGAGAAAGTGCAATGCCATTTTTGACTGTTTTAGAATGTGATGACTTGTAACTTAAAAGTGGTTTTGCTGATATGGGGCAGAACATCCAAAGGTTGTATTCAAGTGAAGATATGTATTGAAGAGCCAGAAACTGTAGGCATTGATCATAAGGTACCGTATTTACTCGCATAATTCTCGCACCCCCCACATCGCCCAACAAAAATACCATTTCTTTTTTCCTCGAGTAATTATTGCACCCCCGAAAACTGCTGCGATAATGTCGTCTGCTCTTTCCAGCCACTGATGATGATAGCGCACGCCATCTGGCGCCATCTTTTAAGCATCAAGCGTACTATTCTACAGAGATTCAATCCAAGTCAAGCCGAAGTGGCCAGTGTGCGTTGCGTCGTGTTTTCTATGTTGTGTCGGTAATCTTGTCACGTTATGAGGCGATACTGAAGCTGTACAGCTGCTTTCAAGTTGCAAGTGATAGATCATGCACTAAACAATGGCAACAGGGCCGCCGGTAGGCCCTTCAGAGTCTACGAGTTTTGTGTTCGTTACTGGTGACGGCAGCTTAAAGCCACCAAGGCGCGTTGGGTCTGCCGTATGCCTAAAACTGGGATTGATGGTAAACTTTATTTCTTCAAAAGGAAACTGTGGACGATTCTGTTAAAAGCCATCAGCCCAATACTGACATCCCACTCTTACCTTTTGAGGGCTCCTCTTGAGCGACGCTGCCGCTACGCCCGCAACGACCGCAAGCTTTGCGTACAGTATTCTAATTCTCGACTATTTGCTTCCACTTTTTGTGTCTTTATTAAATCTTGTCTTGTGTTGTATCTCTGCTTTTATTGTTGAGGTAAGTTCTAATTAGTATTTCTTAAAGCTTGCTGTAAGTTGCTGGTGTGAGAATCCCGATTTGCGGCCCCTTCGTTTTCTTTTTCGCTCTTTACGTTTTCGTGGAAAGTTTTCCCCGCGTAATTCTCGCACCCCCCAACTTTGCATCAATTTTCCGGCAAAAAAAGTGCGAGGATTATGCGAGTATATACGGTAGTTTGAACGACAAGGTGACACCTAAACTATCTTGAAAACCTTCAGCATATCTAGAAGGAGCTTTCTGGTGCAAAAACTTGGAATATAAATAAGAAAAGTGTGTACATACGTAGTGGTAGTTTTGCTTACTTAAGCCATTCAAATTATGTACCAGCATCCTGTTAAACTTACTCAGGTAGTTTTCTCGGAAGCCAAAAATCTATATATCGACTATATAACTGCTGGGGCGTCACAATTTTTTTTCATGTTCCATGCTAATAATGTAACCAAATATTGCCAGCTAGGTACTGCTGCTGGCACCTCAATGTTTCTTGAACCACCTCAAAAGCTATCAACACAACCTTTGCTGCATGATCATAGAGACTGTGATTTATTTTTGTTGTGCAGGACAATGTTGGTGACGAGATATTGCATATTTCTTCACTAAAGGTATACTGTGTTAAATATGGCACATACTGATTTCCTGTAACTCGAGAAAGCATGGCACCTCGGTGCCCATCCTGATGCTTCCTTAGTCAACACTCCTGGCTGTGAATAGGGTACATCAGCGACAGTCTAGGACATTGTTTGTTAGGATACGAGAGCCAAAAGAGAGGCAAAATGGTTAACTGAATGTTCTTTCTGTGGTTATCAAGCTGTCGGTCCTTGGACATGATAGGAAACGCCAAACCAATATAATTTTGAATACTTGAAGAGATCAAATGCCCCGCAGGGGCGCCTGTTAAAGCAGGCGTTTGGTGTGTAGCGACACCACGGACCCGAGCTAACGGGGGAGTTTCTACTCCCTCCCACGCCTAGCCGTGCGTGGCTTTGCCGTGTCCGGGGAAAAGGGGATCCTGGGGGTTGAGCTGACGCTGGGTGATTGGACCTTTAAGGCCCCCTGGCAGAGGCAACACACCCCTTTGGCCCCGGCTTCACGTAGACGGCACCCCTGGGCTGACCCAACCAAGGGAAATCGGTAGTCGCCTTTTCCTATTTCTCTCTCTCTCTACATCTTAGTCTTTTGTCATCTTTAAATCAATCCTGTCTTCTTCTCTCTTTAATTTACTTCCGATTTTTCCTGGCGGCAAGGGTTAACCTTGTGTATGTGCTCTGTCTTGGGCACAATACATTTGGTTATAGCGGCTGTGTACAGCTGACGTTGACATGCCTCATATATATTTAGGACTTGTCACGTCCCCGTGTTGGGCTTCATGGTGGGCGGCTGGCATGGCTGCCGAACTCACATTTAGTTTATGGCTTTTTCTTCTCTCCCTGCATTGCATGATCGTCCTCTCCCGAAGAGAGGGCGCACCGAAGACTTTTGCAAGTATTTCAGCAAACCGAAAGAAACCTTTCCCCGCTACCATGTAATCCATTGTGAAACCGCTGAAAAGAACGCCAGAACTATTTCGCCTTTCGTTGTTTCCAAATGCCTCACCACTACACTTGGACCAGGTTACCACGCTACAAGAATGGCCAGTGGGGATCTCCTCCTCGAGGTAAAAAGTCAGAGCCAGTACGAAAACCTCTCAAAACTAGAATCGTTTGGAAACATACCTATCTCAATTACACCACACCGCTCACTCAACACTTCCCGAGGCGTTGTATCTGATCAAGACTTGCTTGACCTGACTGAAGGTGAGCTCCTCGAGGGCTGAAAGGACCAGCAGGTGACACAAGTACAAAGAATCAAAATTAGGCGTGATAAGAAGGAAATCCCAACAAAACACATAATTGTGACATTTTGCACCAGCACCCTGCCTGAACATCTCGAAACAGGATACTTGAAGTTGAATGTGAGACCTTACATTCCCAACCCGCGACGTTGCTTCAAATGCCAGCGTTTTGGTCACGGCTCTCAGAGTTGCCGCGGCCAACTCACCTGCGGAAAGTGTGCCACCACAGGACACGCTACAGACGAGTGTAAGGTGGAGGATGGGGCCCACTGCGCAAACTGCGATGGTGCCCATCCCGCATACTCCCGAACCTGTCCAACATGGAAAAAGGAAAAAGAAATTGTTACAATCAAAATCACACAAAACATTACTTTCCGAGAAGCCCGTCAACAAGTATCTGGGCTTTTCACAAACAAACCATCGTTTTCCGATGTAGTGCAACAGGGGGCAGCACTACAACGGCCTGCGGCAACTGCCCATGCCAGGCACAGTGTGCCCAGGTGGTCGCCAATGCCCCCACCCACGGCGGGAACAGCCAAGGCTGCCCTGCCACTCGTCCCCACGGCGACAACCAAGGCCGCTGCAAACTCTTGCAGCGGCCAGGGTATCCCAGCACCAAAGGAGGTTCCTTCGACCTCTAGCTCAAGAGGACCGAAGGTTTCGCCCCCCGAGGTGAAGGAGACCCGAGGGTCGGCCGATATGAAGGCCTCGTCTCACCAGGCGAGGTCCCAAGCCCAAAACATCAGCTCGCAACTGCGGGCATGCAGTGCCTCTGAGGAGGCAATGGACACCACGGCACCCCTGGTGCAGAAAGATCGGCGTAGCTCCCTGGAGCGCGCCAAACGAAATAAAAAGCCAATAACGGGGCCCGACGACGGCCCTGTTCTTTGAGTCTTAACGCTTAGCTTAAGAAGCAGACACACCCATTGTTCCTTACACACAGCACTACGTTACCTCCAATATGGCAACACAAATAATACATTGGAACGTCAGAGGACTCCTCAGAAACCTCGATGATGTTCAAGAGCTCTTTTGCAAACATTCGCCGAAAGTACTGTGTGTACAGGAAACTCATTTAAAATCTAAAAACACGAATTTTTTGCGTCGGTATGTTCTCTTCCGAAAGGACAGAGATGATGCTGCGGCATCATCCGGCGGTGTAGCCATTATTGTTAATCAAAAAGTAGCATGCACACATTTACCACTGCAAACAACACTAGAGGCAGTGGCTGTTCGAGCAGTTCTTTTCAACAAGCTCGTCACCATCTGCTCTCTGTACATACCCGCACACCACCGTCTTGGAAAACGAGAATTCGAGTCCTTAATAGACCAACTACCCGAACCTTACTGGTCCTTGGTGACCTGAATGCTCATAGCAGTCTATGGGGTGATTCTCGCTGCGACGCACGAGGTCGTCTCATTGAACAGTTCCTTTTTTCCTCCGGCGCCTGTCTGTTGAATAGGAAAGAGGCAACATATTATAACCTTGCCAACAAAACCTACTCTTCCATAGATCTCAGCATCGCATCTCCATCACTTGTACCATTACTCCAATGGAAAGTTCTAAATAATCCCTACGGAAGCGGTCATTTTCCTGTCGTTTTGAGTACAAAAACATCATACGAATATCCTGCACGAGTTCCCAAATGGCTTATACACAAAGCCGACTGGGAACAGTTTCATAACAAAGCTCACTTATCTTGGACTGACATATGTACGCTAAGCATAGATGAAGCTGTGCAGTACTTCACAGCTCTCCTTATTAACACAGCAGCCAAATGCATCCCACAAACATCTGGACAGCCCGGCAAGCGACACGTCCCATGGTGGAACACAGAGTGTCGTAATGCGCGAAAGGAACAGAACAGGGCATGGAGGTTGCTGCGCAACTCGCCGACAGCGGAAAACCTTGAGAGCTTTAAGAAAATAAAGTCTCAAGGCAGGAGAACGCGTCGGCAGGCCAGAAGAGAAAGCTGGCAGAAGTTTTTGTCAGGGATCACTTCATACACACAGGAGGCTAAAGTCTGGAACATGGTCGGTAGGATAGCAGGAAAACAAGTACACACACTTCCACTCGTAAACACTCAGGGTGATACCTTGGAAGATCAGGCAAACTTCCTCGGTGCACACTTTGAACGGGTATCCAGCTCGTCCCACTATACTGACACTTTCCAAAAATACAGAACAAGAATAGAAAAGCAGAAACTAGAACATAAATCCACTAGATACGAGTCATATAACCAAGCTTTCAGTCTAGCTGAGCTCCGAACATCTCTAAACTCCTGCAGTACTTCTGCCCCAGGTTCTGACCGTGTGGTGTATGAAATGTTAAAAAACCTACCAGCCGAAACACGAAAAACCTTACTTTGTTTATACAATGCTATCTGGTTTTCTGGCACTATCCCTACCTCCTGGAAAGAGACTATTATTATTCCCATTTTGAAAGAGGGCAAGGACCCTTCTTTAGCTTCAAGTTATAGGCCTATTGCACTTACAAGCTGCTTGTGCAAAGTATTCGAAAAAATGATAAACTGCCGACTTCTACATATTCTTGAAACAAACAATTTGCTCGACCCATTTCAGTGCGGGTTTCGAGAAAGTAGATCCACCACAGACCACCTCGTTCGTATCGAGGCACAGATAAGAGACGCCTTCGTCCATAAACAATATTTTCTCTTTGTGTTCCTCGATATCGAAAAGGCGTATGATACAACATGGCGTTTCGGAATTCTAAGAGACCTGTCCCACCTTGGTGTGCGCGGAAGAATGTTTCATATAATCGAAAGTTACCTGTCAAACCGGACATTCCGTGTCCGTCTAGGCAGTGTGCTCTCCCAAACATTTGTCCAGGAAACAGGCGTGCCACAAGGTGGCGTGCTTAGTTGCACACTTTTTATTATCAAAATGAATTCTTTGCACTTGTCCATTCCCCGCAATATGTTCTATTGTACATATGTCGATGACGTTCAGCTTGGCTTCAAGTCATGCAACTTAGCCATGTGTGAGCGGCAGGTTCAGATGGGTTTAAATAAGGTCTCCAAATGGGCATACGAAAACGGATTTCGACTTAACCCACAGAAAACCACGTGTGTCTTGTTCTCTCGAAAGAGAGGCATGCACTCGGAACCTGACATTTGGCTGAACGGGCAACGTCTGTCCGTCAAAGCCGAGCATAAATTCTTAAGCTTAATCTTGGACAACAAGTTCACCTTCGTACCGCACATCAAGTATTTAAAAACAAAATGTTTAAAAGCCATGAATGTTATGAAAGTGTTGTCACGTACTACGTGGGGTAGTGATAGGCAATGCCTCATGAACCTCTATAGAAGCCTTATTCGTACCCGCTTAGATTATGGGGCCGTTGTCTATCAGTCTGCCACTCAAAGTGATTGATTGATTGATATGTGGGGTTCAACGTCCCAAAACCACTATATGATTATGAGAGACGCCGTAGTGGAGGGCTCCGGAAATTTAGACCATGCCACTCAAAGTGCCTTGAAGATGCTTGACCCCGTGCACCATTTGGGCATCCGCCTTTCTACGGGTGCTTTTCGCACCAGCCCCGTAGAAAGCCTTTATGTTGAGTCAAATGAGTGGTCGCTTCATCTGCAGAGAACTTACATGTCTTTTGTTTATTTCCTTAAGGTGAAAGCAGACAAGAAGCACCCCTCATACTCTACAATTAATGATTTGTCGAGCTCAACTCTGTTTCAAAACAGGCCTTCGATGAGGCAGCCCTTCTCAATTCGCCTGAAGTGTCTAGCTGAAGAAACTGAAGTGTCACTTGAACACAGTTTAATGGCTCCTGTAGCATACCCGCCACCGTGGCAGTGGCAGACTATAGACTGCGATGTGTCCTTCTTAGAGGTTACAAAACATGCACCTATTGCCCATATCCGAACATACTTTCTGGAACTCAACACAAATACACATGTCCTGAGTTCTTCACAGATGCCTCCAAGACTAACTCCTCTGTGTCCTACGCTTCGGTCGGCCCATCCTTTTCGGATGCTGGCCCTCTACATCCACGCACAAGTATCTTCACAGCGGAAGCTTACGCGATACTGGTGGCAGCTAAACACATCAAACAATTACAAATACAAAAAGCAGTAATTTATACAGACTCCCTCAGTGTGGTAAAGGCTCTGCACAGTCTTAAAAAACAAAAAAACCCAGTCCTTGTCTCACTTTACTCCATTTTGTGCACACTCTACACGCACAAACAACATGTTGTAGTGTGCTGGGTGCCAGGGCACCGTGAGATCCAAGGCAACGTGAGGGCGGATCAGCTCGCTGCATCCGTCCATGAGAGCACCGCCATTACATCCATATCAATCCCGGACCTTGATCTTAAGCCGTCTCTCAAACTAAACCTCAGGGACTACTGGCAGAGCAAGTGGGATACACACTCACAAAACAAACTACACGTTATCAAGCCACACCTTGGCCAATGGCCACCAGTATCAAAATCACGTCTAACAGAGATAACACTAACAAGACTCAGGATAGGGCACACATACACGACACACACACATCTTTTATCCGGTGGTGATCCACCATTGTGTGATAAATGTGGTGAGGCTTTAACAGTTCTTCACGTTTTAATCCAATGTAAACAGCTAGACATTCTAAGAAGACAACACTTCCCATTACCCTACCGACAACATATACCTTTACACCCTGCAATGTTTGTCGGTAGGGAACCACTTTTCACCCATAAATCATTGTTAGCTTTTTTAAGGGATGTTAATTTTTACCATGTATTATACCCAGGCATTGCGTAGCGTGACCTCTCAAGAGAGGTCGCTGCTGCTGTGATTACATTTAAAAGCACATGTCTCGCAGCCCTTGGACACAAGGGCACTGATGAGGCAAGTGTGCTAGTGCCAAATATTTTTGCATGTTTTTATTATCAAAACCTTTGTCACCCTTTTAATATGCATATCACGCCACTGTCATGTCTTTATTACTTATGTTTTTACCCGCATTATCGCGAGGAATTTTAAGGCCCCTATACAGCCACGCAACATATCATTGTCCACATCTCTATACTCATTGAAAAGGCGCTCTTTGGCCATCAATAGGCCCTTGCGCCATAAAACACCACACATCATCATCATGAAGAGATCAAATGCTCAAACTGGTGACTGCATCGCCTGTGCACATTGAAAAGCAGGGACTAAATGCACTCTTGCCTCCCGTCTACATATGACTGTTCAAAAAATTTATGCATATTTGAAACTCACCAAGGTACTTGTCCTGTTATAAGCGTTTTGCATTTTGTGCTGTGTCATTGGGAATGACGCACTTTGGGTGGGCCTATGTGCTTTGAAAACAGGCTGTACAACGAAGAAGCATGTTTTCATTTGAGAATTCTTACGTTTTTGCACCTTGTGTGAGTAGACTAATTTACACTGTGGGCTTCTCCTAATCATGTTAGTGATGGAGAATCTGTTGCTGGGCCTGTTGGTACATACTTAAAACAAAAAACAGCTTAAGGACGGGTACACAAGATGAGAAGACGCACGCTGGAAGCAGTATTTGTCTGTCGTGCTCTCTTCTTGAATATGGCTCCCAAAGCTGGTTTTTCCGTTTCTTCAAGTGTGAAAGTGCTGCTTAAAGAATATGCACAAGCTGGTTTGTTATTGCTTTTATGCTTTCATAAGCTCACATATCTATTTTTCATTGCGTTTGGCGGGTGCTTTAATAGTGACAGGTTCCTCTTTGAATTCACCTTATCGAAGAGGTTGCTTGACCTTCTATCAAGCATGGCAGCTTCGTTTTTTTCCCTGCGTGACTCTTCGTGTTGTTTTTTCCTAAGGGCCACCACCCAACACTCGGAGCACCTGCAAAGTTTACGAACTACCGCTTTGATGTCGACGAGTTCCTTCGGATTCTTCGCATTACCATGGACTATGTCAAGAAGTTGCAGGCCGTTTCTGTTGAGCTGGGCACCAGCGGGTCACAGTTCTTGACAGGTCATCAGGAATTGTAATACACGGAGATGAGACCTCTTGTCTCTCTATTTGCACCCTATGCCTTCCTTCATGATGAACCCCTACCAACTAGCTCAACTTTCGATCTTTTTGTTCTCAGGTATCACCTGCAATAATGTATTTTGTTTCGATCACCTTGCCATCTATTGCACCAAGCTGAAAATATCAAAACTACATAAAGATTAGAAGAGTGTACTAATGGAGTGGTGATATCAGAATGGCAAGTCAATTTCGTAGAAATGCATGGGTTTAAGAAAAATTAATGATAGGCGAAAAATTTTGATGCAGCTTAGAGTGCAACACTGTATGCTGTTGGACTTAACGTGAGAGCTCTAGGAAGTGTTGACCAATGATTCGCCTGTCCTTCGAGGACAGGACGCTGGTGTATGCGGGCAAATGCACGCTGCCCTTCCAAATGTGTATCGAGCTACAAAATAAAACAAGGTACCAGACAAGGTCTTGTGTCTTAAATTATATGTCAATTGTATTTGACCTTGTTTCCCCAGAGGCCTTTGGCTATGTATTGTGGCCTTTGGCTAGAAGTAAAAAATAAAGAAAACAAAGGTAGGACGACATGCACACAAGGCACTCTTCAGAATTCAACTGCCCCGTAGAATCAATTTGCACCTGCTACTGAGCTAACAAACAAGTCATCATCACAAAATGAGCCCAACAAAAGCAGCACAAATTCCGTGAAGAAGGTCAATTATAGCATTTAATCAACTGACTGTCCCACTCTTGAAAATAATTTTAATTGTAGTTAAAAATTGCACTCAATTACAAAGGTAAGTTCAAAAAAGCATTTCGATTATATCAAACCATGAAAACATGCGCAGTTATGAACAAAAGCACATACTTTATTAACGTTACACAGCCCCGATTCTAAGTGACCTGCTTCTAGCCTGATACATTAGAAAGCTGCAAGGAGATAATGGGCCGTTTGGCAGCGTGAGGACGCTCAGGTATGCCGATGATTTTCTGGTGTTCTTCTGGGCGACCCCTGAAAAGGCTTTTGAGAAGATCAACAAGATTTTTGCCCACTTATCGACGTCCTTTCTTGGTTTCCCAAAGAAGCACCCCGCTGACGGCCAAATGCGTTTTCTTGGCCTCAAGTTGTACAACAGTGCTGTGCCCAGGTGCTGGAAGCATACCCTCGTTTAGACAAGGGCCTTCTTCCATGCACTATTCCGAACTCGTCAAACGGGCCACTGCGTTGTCTGCAATGAAAAATGCTATAATTAGGTCCTGCTCCCATCAAGTTGCAATAAGCTTCTCGCATCAAGTCCTGCGATTGATGACAACAGGCGTTCCTGAACAGTTACCTGTTTTAGCGGAAGTCATCCTATCTAAGCTGTGGCGATTTTCAACCTCACTCTAACTACATAACCAAATAGGGAAATTAGCAGTAATACTCTTCGATACGGGGTGTCTCACCACATCAACAAAGCTGCCGCACGGGCCAGTGTCGAGGCCGTTTATTCAGCACTCATGAAACTCTGTTCGCTGTGCAGGACTGTTAAGAACCAGAAACTAAGCCCTCCATGTCAGGAGCGCACAAAGAAACATGACCTGTTTTGTACCGTGTAACCTGGGTTTCATCTAAGAGTTTCCCACATGCGACGGCATTAGACAGACTAGTCGCTGTGTGAGCAGTAGCTTGCGTCAGGCACATAGCCAGGATTCTTTTTCGAGGGAGGGGCAAAGCCTAATTGTTCAAAAGAAAGGCTTTTTATGGCAAATAGAAAGAAAGTTGCCTTGGAATATAAAAGGTCCTTGACTATCGGAAGAAAATGAGAGCAAAGTGGAATGCAGTTTAAAAGGCGAGTTAACTAGCGATCTCGAACAAGAAGTTCACACAGTCAGTAATGGGAAAACAATTGACGGGAAAAAAAGAAAGGAGATTGGGGGGGGGGGAGGCCTGTCTACGTTATGTGCCGCAAAAAAAACTAAATAAATATTGGACGCTTTCTCTGCCGAACTTCTCACACACTGTCTTAACAACAAGCCTGTTTTTCATGGGCCTGTTGTGAAGACTGAATGTTAAGACAACATTTTATGACAGAAATTTTTAAATAAAGAACACACATATTCAGGAAAACAATTTTATTGAACAAAGAACTTAAAACAAATACTTCCTTGACACAATAGACCGAATGCTACCACTCATTTTAGCAAGCAATTTTAAACGATGGCAGCACCAATGCTTTTACAATGAAGTAACAGTCAATTGAAAAGCAAAGAAAAACAAACATGTAGCCTGGCCGAAGACGGAAGTTCACACTATAATTTTCATACGTCACGATTTCTCCAAAAGCACTACGATAACTTCGTCGGCCCTGACTTGTATTTGGTGAGTGGACCTAAGGGCCAGATCATCAAGCCACTCTTCTGCCATCCCATTCCTCAAATACGTTTTCACTTTTTCAGCGTCAAGAAGCTGCTTTCTGCAGCAGCTGTACTGTTGTGTATCAGCTGCAGCTGTACAGCGTTGCCAATATCTTGAGGAGTGTGTAAATGTCCGGAAAGAGGGCTTTCCTTTGCGGCTGAAGCATCCGCCGCAAATTGGGGAATTTTAACCTCTTGCATGGCTTACCAATTGGGTTTCTAGATTTCCCATTCACGTTTTTGTGTAAGGATAGGAGCTGTTGTCATATCTCGGCTAAATATCGAAGGCCAGCTGTGCAGATTCAAATTTTCCTTTGGGGGCGTGCTTTGGCAACACAATTGGCAAGCTTTGCAGTGTTTTCTAATAGTTTGCAGAGCGCCTTTTAACGGAAGCTTTTAGGTCATCTATGTACAGAATGAATAAAACTTCCACAGAACTTCAGTTGTAGTTTGCCTGGTATCTCTGTGTTCCTACCATCCTTGGAATCTCACAATCCTATCCGGACTTCGCCGCCCTGTCTTGACATAGAAAAAATATGTTGTGGAATTCTGCCTCTGCGGCAGTTCCCATCTGTTCCAGCTCAGTCAGCACCAAGTCAATCTGCTCCAAGGCGACAGTGATGTCAATATATGTGGTCCGCAGATACACAGACAAGTATGGATTGGCAGATTGATATGGCTATACCCTTTTGATCGGCTGGCGGCTAACGCCACCTAGCCGTAGTACTTAGTGAACCGAAAACTAGATTTATCTTTTTTTTCCTTTAAATAGTAAAGTTGAGGACTGGTACTTTATAGTGAATGGTTTAATTTTCACTCGGGCCTTGACTTTAGCCACAAATTAGATAACCTCTTTCTAGTTAATTCTACCTGATTGAAGTCTATTTTGCCCTCCCTGTCCCTAAACCCCAGTGCTTTGAAAAAGTCTGCGCCATCATCCTGAACTATAGGGCGAAGCCCTTTACACAACATTATCAAGTGTTCGGCAGTTTCCTCCTCCCCTCTACCTGCACTGCATACCGTGTCTACCCCTTCGTATTTGGCCTGATATGTCTTGGTTTGCAATACTCTCGTCTTGGCCTTGAACAGTAGAAAACTACCCAGAGTATTATCATAGATCCTTTCCTTGGAAATTTTCTGCTTAAAAGTTCGATAGATCTCTAGTGCGGACTTCTTAATCATGCCAGTTCTCCACATATCGGTCTCCGTTTCCTTCACCTTCTTCTTAAACGGTAGTTCTTTTTGGCTTGGCCCCCTGCTGTTTTCTAAGCGTTTACTCGTCAATTTTCTAGTTCGCTTGCTCCAATATATAGACATTCTTCATGTATGCAGTAGCTGAAAACCTTCCTAGCCCAACGCTTCTCCCCTATTTCTCTCAATTGCTTCTTCAATTTTATCTTGCTGCTAGCTTCCCTGCCCTTGAATGATGTCCATCCCATATCACCCTGTACTCCCTGATTTGGTGTGTTTCTGTGAGCTCCTGAAGCAAGCCTACCTATTCATAGTGGCTTAATTTTTAATCCTGCTTCAACCTCTGATCTCATGCACAAGACCGCATTGCAGAAAGGCAGACCAAGAGCCATGACGCCTTTCCAAATTCCTCTCAATCATAACTATTGTAATTCCATAGTACCCTATTTTTCATCACCTCTGCATTCCTGTTTCCCTTAGTCGTTGCATATATTTCGTGTTCCCTTAGATGCTCGGTCCCATTGCTTATCCGTACGCCCAGATATTTGTATTTATTCGTTATCTCAGGCATGACTTCCTGTATCGTAAGCTCACTGCCTTCATTAACATTAAAGACTGCTGATCTTTCCTTATTGAATCTCAAATCTATGTTATCTCCTTCATCACCGCAGATGTCAATTAGTCTCTGCAAATCTTCCTTGTCGTCAGCCATCAACACTATATCATCTGTGTACATCAATGCTGGTAGTGCCTGTTCAATGAGTTTTCCTTGTTTGACGAAAGAGAGGTTGAAGCCAAGTCCACTCCCCTCTAATCCTTGTAGGTACATCATGAATAACAAGGGTGACTGAGGACACCCCTGCCTAAGCCCCCGTTTTATCTCTGTGGGATTGGATACCTGTTTTTCCCATTTTAAAACTACCTTGTTACTTTTATCGATATTTTTAAGAGCTTACAGGGACTCCATCCTCCACACCTGGTGTGTCCAGTATTCTCCACAAGGCCTCTCGAACCACACTATCGTACGCTCTCTTAATATCTAAAAAATTGGCAGATCCCATGCACAGTGGCAATCGATGCTAGGCGAAGCACGAATGAGAAATGTTGTACGTCACTTTACAATCAGCACAACATTACAAGATAGAGGTAAATGATGCGGTACATGACTTCCGTGTCATGATTATTATGCTTGGATGTGTCGTTTACCTTCATCATCTGTTCATGTCACGTGATACCAAATTTAGTATATGTGGAGCTAGCGAAACGGCCACGAGCACGCTATGAGCCTGGTATGTTGTCATGTTCTTACATGACACGCGTGTCAGGATTATCATCTTTGCACCAGTCACATATTTCGTTGTCCATTGACGTCACGTAATACCAAATTTGGTATATGTGGACCTAGCAAAACTGCCGCGAGCGCATCATGAAGGGCCCAATATACTTCAATGTAGCGTTGAGACGTGCACACGCTGTGAACAGCGACGCTACGTTAGCAAAACGCGAGCACTCTATCGTCAGACGCCAGGCGCGACCAGCGTCTGTCGGCACGGCCTGACAGCAACCGGCGTGAAATGCGACATGCTGCATTTCGCACCGATGCGTTACCAAGACGACACTGTGTTTCCCTCTTTTTGTGAAGGAGGGACACCGGACACGCTGAAATGGGCTTGCATCAAAGCAGCACAGTGCGCGCTTGCGAGTATATGGCAGGACCGGCACCTGGCATGGTAACGCCAGCATGACGCGACAAAATAAACGCCCGCGAGCAGGTGCACCGCGTTGCGTTGAAATGTATTGGGGCCTTGACTATGGCATGTAGTCATGTACTCACATGACACGCATCTCATTATTATCATGTTTGCATCAATCACATACC